GTGATGGGAAACCCGTGGGGATTACAATTGAGATGAAAAAAAATGTGAAAAATGATGTAAAAATAAACTTTTTAATAAAAAAAAAAAAATTCTCAAGCTTGAACAGTTCCTAGCCAAAGATGGTGATAGTATGTCTAAAAAAAAAAAAACATAGTTGCTTTAGAAAAGCTGAATTTCCCAACAGCACAGTCTACCTTCATGACTACTAAAACTGACATTTCTAGTAACATATTTGGTTTCATGAGAATGCCTTTTAAAAAGAAATTTCACTAACATTAGTAATTTAATTGGATACTCAAGTTCAACAAAAATCGGAGTATCACTCCCAGAAAATAAATGGCTAAATTTATATGCTTTGGGAATTGCAGTACATACCAACATATGGTCAAATTAAAGACACAGGCCTCATGAAATCTACTCATTCAACAAACAGGTCTCTACTGAATGCTTGCCCTTTGTCTGTGCTGATGAGACTGGATGACCAAAGCAGGTAAGCTCTTCCCATCATGGAACATACAACCCCAAACAATAAGCACCAACATGAAAATAAGACGAGTCAAAATGAAAGTAAGAGAGCTAACTGAGCAAATTAAATAAACAACACTATTTCCAGGACTGTGTCAAAGGAGTTTCTAAAAGAGAATAACTGAGCTGAGATCTGAATTGAACAGCTGGCTAAATATTCAGCAAAAGTCAACTCACACAAAAACTGGCTATCAATTTTAATAAAAATATGTGAATACCCAACAAGATTTATGACTTAAGCAACCAAGTTAGTATTTATAAACATTGGGTAATAAGTGGTATTAACTTTCAGACAAAGTGTGAATGTTGAGTGGAAAAAAGGTTTTAAAGACATCACACAGGTGCTTAAAAATTATCATTATCTATAAAGCAAGCATGTGTTTGTATTGGATAAATGGTTAAAGTATGGAGAATCTTACTTTTAGCAAAAATGTCAACTGGTGATCCATCAGGCAAAAGCCATGGCCAACCTTTGAACTGCCATGCAGGACCTTGCACAAAAACTGCCACAACCCTGTCCCTATAAACAGAAATGGGGGAGAGAGAACAGATACAGAATATCTTAATCATGCGCTTTTTTTCACTGTAAATCCTTAATGAAAGAATTTAATAACTATTCATGTGATATAATATCTTGTCAACACTCCTGTGAGGCAAACAAAGTCCATTACCTTAAGTTTTTGTTAGAATATCACCATTAGAATGCATTAATGATTGCAATAGTTTCCATGTATCTGTGTTTTCACCTAAATCTTAAATAGAATTACATGTACAATCCTACGTGATCTTTTTAGCCTTTTATCTTTGCTCTTCTATTAGTTAGAATAAGGGCTCACTATTCAAATGCAATGGGGTACAGAAGTTGATTTATTAATTGAAAAAGTTCATCTTAAAAAGAAATCGTTTTACTTTAATTAGAAACACTAAATTACAGTAATTCACCAACCATTTTAAGAAGCCCCAAAGCCTTGTTTTTCAGTTCTGATTTCTGGAAAGTAATCTGGGTATAGAAACCATTCTGACTTCTTAATTTTTCCAATCCTTCTTTTCTTTTTCTTTCTTAAAGATTTTATTTATTTATGCATACAGAACTGGGGTATAGGCCAGAGACTGCAGGGGCAGTGAGAGAATTCACCAGAGACAGAGTGGGGAACAGAACAGACAAATCGATGAAATACATTGCTGAGGGGAGCAGCAGGCGGGTCAGGAGAAATCTGCTGTGCCATATGGGTCAGCTCCAGGGCCAAGGATCAAGCTTGCACTGAAGTGGCCACTGCCAGCTTCTAGTGCTGTGCTTCAGCCAGCTGTGCCACCAGGGAGGGCCCTCAACCTTTGCTTTTTTAAGATGAACATACCACTTTCAAGGCCTTTATGTTTTATTTGTTTACAAAATACTCAATTAAATAGAGAAATTACAATAAAGCCATAAACACCATAAACAATTTAAGCCTACAACTAAAGAGGCCTGAGCAAAACCGTAACAGCTACAATAATTAATATTGCTAAGATGTACTATAAGCATTTACTGAGTTTTCAACACTTTATATATTACTAATGTTAACAATTTAATCTTCAAAACAATTGGTGAGTACTCTAATTATCCCCATTTTACAGAGGAGGAAACAGAAATGCAAGAGCATAACTAGAAAATAGTACACGTCCTAGACGAGAGGAAAAGGAGGAATAAGAAAAGAGGAGAGAGAACGAGAGGGGAAAGTGATTAAGCCTGCGTACTGGTTCACACGTGAAGAATGATCAATTATGAGAATAGCTGTTTTAGTATTATTGAATTATTATGATGTTACAATTACTCCCAGACTCCTATAGTGATAATCTCTGTACTCTATATATCTAACTAAACATTAAACATAGGCTACTGTCTCTGTTGTTCAAAAGTGAGTGTTTAAGTAAAATAAAGTTCTAACTATCTAAAATGTTTAGTTATTCCCTCAATGTTAACACTTTTGATGACCAAATCACACATTATACAGGTTTCAAGGATAGATTCTATTTATAACTCATGATAAAATCTGGTACTTAACCATATTGCAAATAATAACAATATAAATAACAAAGACTGTCTTACCAGTCTTGAGGCATAAGTTTAAGGGGCTGGTCTACTACTCTGTAAGGAACTGTGACACTAAGTGCAGTACCCCCTGGTTGCATCTGGTCTTTTCTTCTCTGTATGAGGGTTTCATTTTCTCGTTGGCAACCTTGCTTCTTCTTTTCATCTGATGGGACAAATCTTTGAAAAAAAGAGAAAAAGCTCAAGTGTTTTCGAATATATTCCATGCAAATAGGAAAACTGTATTTTGAAATTATTTCATTATTGAGTTTTAAAATAAAAATGTTTTCATTTTTATTTTTACATGAACCAGTCCTTTACAGAGAGGTTATAATATTTGAAGAGTATGGATCTTCCCTTCGCAACACAAATTATTGTCATTCATCCAGTATTTAGTATTCTCCAAAGTCACATAAGAAATCAAACAACTATTGATTTTCAACTGCTATTAGAGAGAAATTTTATTACAAACAGACAGGTCACTTGAAGATGATATGGCCACATCACAAAGGATGATGGTGAAGGCAGACATCTTTCTAGACAGATAATTTAGCCTACCCAGGAAGTTCACAAACACCTGTTTCACATTTACACCTCAGCAAAAATGGAAAAATGGCACTAGGATAGGGATTAAAACATTGGCATAGGAGCTTTGGTATAGGATGAAAGAAGCATGTGTACATACAGAGATGTGAAAATGTAGCCCTAACTTTATGTAAATGACAAAAAACGCCACTGCATTTCAAGGTTGCTATGCAAATTTTTTTAAAAAGCAGGGAAATCAAGTTCAGTGTTTACCAATAGTCTTAATAATAAAAAATGTTAGTAATTTAGTAAATTACCAACTCTTAGTAATTTGGTATTGTATTATCAATAGATAAAATCAAATATAATTAACAATCTAGCAGAGCTATTGCCAGGTCCAGATTTCTGTTTACAACATATTAAAATGCTTATTTTCTTAAATACATACACACACACACACACACACGCACATACATGCACGCCTAATATACTCCGTTAGTGTATTTTATAACGCTATGGTCTTGTGCCTCCAATTAACTGAAGGGGTGAGGGGCCATGCAGTCATTGCACTGAGTATTATTCTCTTCTAAAGTTCTAAAGACATAGAAGCACAAAGAGCTTTTTAGAGCTTGAGTTTGGTGCTTTGAAAAATGTCAATATCATATACTGGGTTCATCATATAACATATAGATATACTAGTTTTGTACCCATGCAAATTTTTATTACATGGTAATTGTGATAATATTGAACTTCATTTCTGAGCTATGTGTTCTGACATCAATTTCACATCTAATGGAAAAGATTGCCATATCATTTAAAAATATTCCCTAGATAATCATTTTACTTGAAACAATAAACTTTTTTTAAAATTTAACACACATGCAGTTATAATGTAACAATAATAATAAAAGCAAAGTAATGTGGTAACTTACACAACATACATATGTATGTAGTTGTACAATTTACGGATTTACGGACCACGATCCCTTGAAGGTTATCTTGCAGATGTAAAGAACAATAGGGTCTGGCCCTCCCTGGTGATGCAGCGGGTTAAAGCACAGCACTAAGAAGTGAAAACCACTTCAGCATGAGTTCGATCCCGCCTGCCCCAGAGGTGACCACATGGCGCGGCAGACCTCTCATGACCCACCCGCTGCTCCCCTCAGCAGTGTACTTCGTTGACCTGCCTGTTCTGCTCCCCACTCTGTCTCTGTTGAATCCTCTCACCCTCTGCATTTCTGGCTTGTACCCCAGTTCTGTATGAATGAATAAATCTTAAAAAAAAAAAAAAAAAAAGAACAATAGGGTCTTATAACCAAGAGAAACATGCTTTGCTTTAATTTATGAGTCTGTAACTATATGGAGTTAAATTATTTTAATTCTGAAATATAATGTTGCAACTTCCTCTTTTCTGTCTTGAAAGTTTGGTATACCACAAATGTATAAAGTTACTTATGAAAACTAGTTGTAATAAACTTTAATAACGAATGAATTGTAATATACAAATGAGTGATTACAATACCCAACAGTCAAGTCTATTGAATACCTAATTCAGCTTCTAACTCATTAGAAATGAGCTTTAGCTATATCTGTATATAAAACATTCACATGTTTATATTTGGTTAAAGAACTTTTTTATTGAAGTATATTGCATTGTGGCATTATGTAAGATTTTTCAGGTGTGCATCACTGAAAAGTAGATTTGGTACTGTATTACCAAGATCTATTTCTTTGTCCCTGATTTTTTTCGTTCAATTTAATGTTTCTGATACACACTCATGTTGGTGGAACAAACTGGATGTTCCATTTTACTTCTGAGTAAAATTCTATTACATAAATATGTCACAATTTATTTATATATTCTCCATTGGATAAGTTGGCCATTTGGGTAGTTCCAAAAATGGGATATTAGATGGAGAAAAAAAGACAACACCCTATAATAAATATTGTTGTACTGTTTTCTTGTGGCATGTTTTCCTTTTTCTTCTATGAATACCCATGAGAATTTATAAAAAGGACAAAGCACATCTTAAAAGAGATCTTTCAGATAGTTACCAAGAAATACGAAATTCTTGGGGCAGAAGACTGAGCAAAATCAGAAACCCAGAAGTAATTCTGTAGACTTACATTCATGGAAGAAAGCAAGGGACTTCTCAATAATAAACTCAATAAATTTAAGCCATGTTTCCTTTTACTATATTTTACTAAGTTTGTGGAAAAGGAAATCAAGTCCAAATTCTGTTCAAGGTAGGATTCTACTAAAAGCTCCTTTCACAAAGCTAGAACCCTCAGAGGTTAATTTTTCTATAACAATAAACTAGAAATAAACCAAATGCCCATCATTTATTCTTCTCTCCACTCCCTATTCCTAACTGACACCAATGCAACTGAAAGGAACATCAACCCTCAGAATTATAAAACTAGATATCACTTTAATTTGCAGCAAAAATTAACAACCTTGGCCACAGTCATCAATTCACCAATAAAGAAATACTAATTCTGGCCAAAAAGACTTGATTCAGCATTTTGGCTGGAACTATTGTGAAGGAGGTACTAATTTTCTACTATAATGGCAAAAAATGCCTTGACATTTATTGATTCATCCAATATTTGCAATTTACTTACTCTACTTTAAATTCAGGTATGGCTGGTATGATGGAAGTCATTACTGCTTAAAACAGGTAGACTCTACTGAAAATAACTATATTAGTATTGTCAAAGAATTAAATGCAAATATGGTGACACCTAAGAAACCAGGTTTCAGACTCTGTTATTTGTGGATATTTGTAGGTTAAAAATATACTTTTCCCTTTCAAAAAAAAAAAGGTGAAATGTGACGGGCAAAAATGATCATCACTTTGGATGTCAAAAAAAACATAAAATGGCCCTCCCTGGTGGTGCAGCAGCTTAAAAGTGCAGCACTAGGAAGCTAAAAGCCATTTCCACATGAGTTCAATTCCCGCCTGCCCCGGAGGTGACCACAAGGCATGGCAGACCTCTCCTGACCCACCCACTGCTCCCCCCAGCAGTGTACTTCGTCAATCTGCCTGTTCTGCTCCCCACTCTGTCCCTGCTGAAGCCTCTTGCCACTCCTGAGCCTCTGGCCTGTACCCCAGTTCTGTATGCACAAATAAATAAATCTTTAAAAAAAAAAACCATAAAATGACAATTTAAACTGGCACCATTTGGTAAAACTCCATTAAGTGTTTAAGAGATACCCCTTACCTTAATTTGAAACTCAAGGAATTTCCGAGGGGGGGGGAATTTCCGGGGGGAGACAATAAATGAGCAAATGAAAAACAGTTAAATGAAAACTAAAAATTAAATAAGGAAAAGGAGTATCACGAATGAAAAGTCAAAATAAAAGATAATTTTCAAATGATGAAATCAAAGGATTAAAATTTATATAAAACAGGGTTGCAAATAAGAACGGGGGAAATTTTAAAAGAACAAAGATTTGAAAAGAACTAAACAAAACCATTAACATTTAAATATAAGGTATCTAAACATTAAGATACAATTAATAAACTAAGAATGAGATTAGAGCATAAGCGCCCCCCCTCCCAAAATTAAACCTTAAGAATACTGAGAATGCAGATTAAGTAGCTGGAATAAAATTATTTAAGAAACAAGGAGAATAAAATGAGGTCTAAGATTTTTTTCTCATTTAATGTCACAAAAGGATGAAGAGGGGGCAAAAAAAAAGTGGGAAAATAGTAATTAAGAGATATGGCTCAAGACATTCCAAACTAATGAAAAACACAAATCCAAGGATTTAAGTCTAGCAAACACCAAATATAATAAATAAGAAATCTACAACTACATATAGAAGATAAACCCATTTGAAGTAACCAAATTTAAAACAACAACAAAGATAAAAGCACATTTCCTTCATAAAACTAACTGACCTTTCATTATCATCAATGGAAACTAGAAACAATGCAGGATTTTCAATGTTATCAGAGTAAAATAAATTCCCATTATTATTTTTTCAATGTGGATGAATCATTTTGCATTGCCTGTTGCTGCCAGGAACTTTGTATAGTTTACCTGTTCTTTCCCTAGGTCTCAAGTATTACAGTTTCCTCACATGCATTTTTTTAGTGTTTGACTAATGCAAGGGAAACACTGCATTATTTTAGGGACACTCTCTTCATGCAACTCTCCTCTTCAGAAGTTTTCCCTGTGAAGTTACCATCATAGTCAAATCACTAGTACCATCCAACCAGTTTATTTTTTTTAAATTTATTTATTTATGCTTATAGAACTGGGGTACAATAGGCCAGTGGAGCAGGGGCGGTAAGAGGCTTTACCAGAGACAGAGTGGTGAACAGAACAGGCAGATCAACAAAGTACACTGCTGAGGGGAGCAGCGGGCGGGTCAGGAGAGGACTGCTGCACCATGTGGGTCACCTCCAGGGCCGAGGATCAAACTCATGCTGAAGCGGCTTTAGCTTCTTAGTGCTGTGCTTTAACCCGCTGTGCCACCAGGGAGGGCCCAACCAACCAGTTTATTTTTTTAAAAATTCTATTATAACTTCTCTCAAGATCATGTTTATATTATTAACTTAATTTTTCTATTTATGTACTCAGGGGTATAGTGGATTTTATTTTATTTTGTTTCATTCATTTATTGAAGGACTAAAAAATTAAAGAATCCTCAATTTTACATGAAACCAAACAGAACCTATGCCAACATGAGTTATGGGTTACAGCCAGTACTATAATTGTGTGGAGGAGGTTTCAATTATGCATTAATTACAAAGCAAAGCCTCCAGCTGACTCAAACTGCAGGGGAGATGTCAGTTGCAATGAGGTGTTAAACAATGAAGGGAGTGTTTTAAACTTAGAAGAAAAATTAAGCATGGTCTATCCTAAAATGTGGTCTGTTTAACTGTTTGGCTTCTTTGAAGTAAGGCAAAGGAGAAAAACACTAAAATTTACTTTCTGGTTTCTCCTATTTACTGTGCTCTATTAGGAAAAAATGTTTAAGTACTAGATTTGTAATACATTCAGATGAATATTATTAAAGGGTCTTCACAAATAAAATACTTAGATTCATTTTTCAAAAATTTACTATGAATTTGTAACCAGACATTTCTAATAAAAAATTATGTTGTCAATTACTAAAATTTGTGAAAAATGGACAGTATAAGATTTGGAAATCATAAAAGTCAACATATAAGAAAAGTCCTTAAAGACCACCTAATTCAAATATATTAAGTGAGAGAAACCAACATCAAGTATGACACAGCTGTTAAATGTCAAAAGTAATTGTATTTTTCACCACACTCTGAATAGTAAGGAATGGCTGGGTTTAATACTATACAGGTACATATTTTATTTCTTCTCATCAGTTGAAACTAATGACTCCTAATACACTCTCACTATCATGAGTCCCTAAAAAGTTGCAATATATCTATTTACACAGCACTTGCTTTTTAGTTACTATTCTAGAAGTGTTTGCTGAATGAACAAACTCAGTGTACATAGCAGTCTCCCCCAAAATAACTTGTTGCTAAATCCACCTGTATCTTACAGCTAAAGCAAGCAAAATGAATCACTAAATGAAGATTAAAACTCATTTTTAATGAGTGTATTGCAATGAAATAGTCTGCATTTTTAACTCCCCACAGGCACATCTCCAACAGTTAAGAAGCATGCTGTTTTATACAGTAGGTAGTGGGCAATGGGTAATTCAGGGAGGGGTACACCAAGATACTACACCTGAAGGGATCCTAAACTTCCAAATACCAACATGTCGCTTTCTGTTAGCACAAATATAAAAAAATAAAATACTGTTGTCTCAACACTGACTTTCACAGACTGATGGTTATACTGCTCAGATAGATTTTGACATGTTACAAACCAGTTCCACTAAAGCACTGTAACAGATATTATTAAAAATTTTACCATTATACACAAGAAATTCTAGATAAAATATAACAAATACATGAAATGCTTAGCTGAGCTGGAAGGAAAATACTCTTGGAACCAAAATCACTGCTGCCAAGTGGAGGAAAATGGAACATGGGATATGCCTTCCTGCATCTGGTTTGTACTGCCCACACAGGGATAGGAAACAAAGGAGCTAAAACTGAAACCTTAGAAGAGATGTACAACCAACAAAAAAGATTAAGTAGGAAAATTCCAAATAAGTGTAAGGAGGCATACACATTTTGATTTAGCTCTAGAGTGTGAAAAGAAAAAGGGCTCTTAATTTGTCACCTAAGAGCCAACTGCAATGTCACTCAGATCTGATCTGAATTTGAGTTTATACTCTATCTCTAAATGGAAAAGAGGAAACAAAGCATTTCATACTAAAAGCTAATACAGTATCAGTTTCCTTAGAATTTTAGCCTGTAATGTCACTAAATGATTTTCAACAAAGGGTCCAAAGATAAGAGTATACTGTTTATGAAATTATATTTCAGACTAAAGTGTAGTTTTCCTCCCATAAAAGTATATGCATATGTAACTACACTCTTTCCATAACTCTATGTCCTATTAAGAGTAATTTGACAAATTACTTACTTTAAGTCTTGTAGAAGGTCCTTTGCATTAAGCATGGTTATTAAAGAGGTGGTAGCTGCAGGAATTATAATAATGGGTGTTCGAGACCCTGAAAGACAAAATTTTGAAGGTAGCAAATATGGCATAATTAAAATGAATTATAGCTACTTTGCCCAACTAAAGTTTACAAGTTTATAGTCAAATCTTTTGAGCTGAATATATTAAGACAATAGTGAATCAGTACAACCTGAGCACTAACTAATGAAAAAGGCTATCAAGGACACACATTTGATGTAACTGCATAAAACTTTACTTTTTAAAGTTTAGAATCATATGCACCATCTCACCTTTCTTCTGATTTGGGGGAGGCCTTGCTTGTGAAACTGTAAGAAACAACAAACATTTGAGTGTTACAAAAACTGTACTCTTAACTTTCAAATTTGCAAAATTATTTGTATTTACGTATGACCAGTTATAAAATTATTCCTCACATTCATAAAACATTAAAATACATGAGCGCTACTCGGTGTAGTATGGTCATAAAAAAGTGAATAGACTACACACTGTTAGGCAATGAGTAATAGCTATCTTCATGGATCTTAAGGACAACTAAATTTCTTAATTCATTATCACTATAATAAATGCATTGACAATATTATAAAAGTATGTAACACTGGGAAAGTGCTGTGGGGAGGAAATGTTCAATTTCTTTGGAGGAGTCCTTACTTAGGTGTTGATACCTAAAATATTTCTTACCTTCTCACTGTCGCTCCTTTAAAAACTTTTGTTCATTTATTAGAAGAGAACAGCACATGAAATGAATGATGTGGAGTCTGTTATACGGAATTGCTCATAATATTTTAATTGAAAATACAGACTATAAACACACCAGTATTCCTACCGTTTCATTACTTATATATACAAACAAGCTTATAATAAAATATTTGTTGGCATCATGTAATGGCATCAGTTAAGTTCAAAATCTCAAAATGTTAAGATAAAAACTGCTGTATTATTCAGTTGTTTTTATCCATACAATAAAAATAGTCTTCAATGTGCTGTTAGAATTTTTTTATGAAAAAGTCAAAATAAGGAGATCAGAATTTGACTTTAGTCTTAATTCTTAGAAATAGATGGTACTCCAAAGGGTGTTTTGGAATGTGACTATTTTAAAGGAAATAGAAAGCTACATTTTAATTAACACCTTCTATTATTTTACGTAGCAATTTCACTGTGATAAAATATTAACTAGGTCAGCAGTATGATTTTTCCAGTCACATAAATCAGTGCAAGATATATACAACAAGTTGAGAAGCATACATATTTCTTATAGTGGTCTTGCCTTTCTTCTCTTGCTGAGGGAAAAGAACAACTAAAACTTTCTCACATTATTTTTAGAAATAGGACTTGTGGATAACATTTGATTAGGTCACCAGGATCACCTAGAATATAATACAATCAGTAACTTTTTTTTAGATTTATTTTACTTATTTATGCATGTAAGAGCTGGAGTGTAGGCCAGAGGTGTGGCGGTAAGTGGATTCACGAAAGACCACGTAAGGAGCAGAACAGGGAGAATGACTGACAAGCACTGAGGGGCAGAGCGGAAGAGCCAGGTGAGGTTGCTGCACCATGTGGGTCAGCTCCCTGGCCAAGTATCAAACATGTGCTGCAGTGGCTGGTGGTAGCTTGATATTGTTGAGATTTAATCCCTTGTGCCACCAGGGAGGTCCCCTGTCTCAATAAATATTAAACAAGTATTTGTTGCCAAGATAAAGGCATGATGGGGTGAATAGGCACATGGATAAACAAGAAGCAGGAATTGGTATGAGAATGGCTACAGGGGGAAAAAAATATTTGAATGAAATGCCATTGATTTGGTAAGGGAACCCACGACAAACTTCAGATGTTTGGGGAAAAGTCACTAAATAAAATCAAGGTTGGGATAAACCAACATAAGAAAAGAAAAAAAACATAAAAATCCACACATACTAGGGGAAAAAAGAGTTCTGGTATTAAAAAAATAAAACTAAGAGCATGCACAGGTTTCCTTTAAGAATCAAGTCATAGGTACTGAGAGCATACATAACCATGATAAACTTGACCATAAGTGGGAAGCAGAAACTAACACAAGGACTTTATGTGGAGAGTTTAAGGCAAGAGTCTATATAGCCAGATGATCTCAATTAATGAGCCCCATTTTGCAACTTAGTATCAGTGACTAGAAAAGCCAAGTTTTAAGTCAGAAGTTAACATGATCTGATATACAACTTTTATAAGATAAAAAAATAATGGATTGATTTTAATCACATCAACTGACACAAAAATAAACTCCATATAATCATATCAATAGATGCTGAGAAGGCATGCGATAAAGTTCAACATCCATTTATGTGTAAGGCCCTCGAAATCCTCGGAATAAAAGGAACATACCTCAACATGATAAAAGCCATATATGACAAACCCACAGCCAATATTTGCCTCAAAGGATAAAAGCTGAAAGCCTTTCCTTTGAGATCAGGAACAAGACAAGAGTGTCCTCTCACCACTACTCTTCAATATAACATTGGAAGTTCTAGCCAGAGCAGTAAGACAGGAAAAAGATATACAAGGAATCCAAGTAGGGAAAGAAGTAAAAGTGTCCTTATTTGCAGATGACATGTTAATTTACATGGAAAACCCTAAAAACTCCATAGAGAAACTAATCAAAACAATTAACCAGCTTAGTAAGGTAGCAGGATACAATATCAACACACAAAAGTCAGAGACCTTCCTACACACAACCAGTCAGAAGAAGTGGGAGTGGAGAAAAACCATCCCGTTTTCAATGAAAACAAAAAGAATCAAATACCTGGGAATCAACCTAACAAAAGAGGTAAAAGAGCAATACAAAGTTAACTACAAAGCACTGTCAAAAGAAATACAAGAAGACACCAAGAAATGCAAAGACATCCCCTGCTCATAGATCAGGAGAATTAACATCATCAAAATGGTCATCCTTCTAAAAGTGATATAGATTTAACACCATTCCAATAAAAGTCTCAATAACATTCCTCAAAGAAATAGAAAAAATACCGATGAGATTCGTATGAAACCACAAAAGACCTCGAACAGCCAAAACTCTCATGACTAAGAAGAAAGAGAACAGAGGCATTACAATCCCAAACTTCAAGCTATACTACAAAAGCCCTAACGATCAAAACTGCATGGAATGGAACAAGAACAGACCAGTGGATTTGAATAGAAAACCCAGATATAAATCCACAGGTTTATGGGCAACTAATCTTTGACAAAGGAGCAAAGAAAATACAATGGAACAAAGAAAGTTTGTTCAACACATGGTGCTGGGAAAACTGAGAAGTTACATGCAAAGAAAAATGAAACTAAATCATTAACTCGCACCATACACAAAAATCAACTCGAAGTGGATTAAAGACCTAGACATAAGACTGGAAACCAAAGAATATCTGGAAGCAAAGATGGGTGAAACACTACAGACATACACTTCAGTAACATCTTTGAAGATAAAGCACCCAATGCAACGATAATGAAAGCAAGGATAAATAGATGGGACTACATCTTCTATACAGCAAAAGAAACATTACAAAAAACAGACATCCCACTGACTGGGAAAAAATTTTCTCACACAATACTAACAATAAAGAATTGATCACAAAGAGACACAAAGAGCTGATAAAACTCAACAAAAATAAACAACCCCATCAAAAAATGGGCAGAAGAGCTAAAGACATTTCCCCAAAGAGAAAATGCAAATTGCCAATAAGCATACGAAAAATGTTCGTATGCAAATTAAAACCACAAGGAGATACCACCTCACACTAGAAGAGAATGGCACATCTTCAAACAGCTAGCAATAACAAATGTTGGTGAGGATATGGAGAAAAAGGAACTCTCCTGCACTGCTGGTGGGAATGCAAACTAGTACAACCACTATGGAAAAATATTTGGAGGTTCCTCAAACTGCTAAACATGGAGCTTCCCTACGACCCAGCAATCCCACCCCTAGGTATCTACCCAAAAGACACAAAAACACTGATTCAAAAAGATATCTGCGCTCCTATGTTTATTGCTGCTTTATTTACAATTGGAAAGACATGGAAACAGCCCAAATGCCCAAAAGTAGATGACTGGATTAAAAAGATGTGGTACACATATACAATGGAATATTACTCAGCAACCAATAAAATAAAATAAAAAAACACATGCCTTTTGCAACAAGATGGATGGAGATGGAAAAGATGATGCTTAGTGAAATAAGCCAGAAAGAAAAGGTAAAATACTGAATGGCTTCACTCACAGCGGGAGTATAGTGGACCAGGCAAGATAATATTAATAATAATGAACAGTTATATACCAGAGACATTTTTTGAGGGTGAGTGGGGAACAGGATCAAAAACAATGGGAGGAGGGAAATGCAATGGACTATGGTGATGGCACACGGGAGATTTGGTGATGGGAAGCCCACGGGGATTACAACTGAGATGGGAAAATGCACAAAATTTTGTAAAAATAAGCTATTATTTTCTAAAAATAATAAAAAAACTATCCTTTTGACTTGGGGGAATTAAGTGAGATAATGATTGTAAAACAATTCTGAAAAGTGTGAAGAGCTATAAAAATTTCACACTTGGATCTATTATTTTTCTTTATTGTGTTAATCATAGATGACTGAACAGATTTAAACATTTTTGTTAAGTATAGGCTGACATTTAAATGTTCACTGTCAATTTTAAAAGTGTAAGTTGACTAGAAAGACTATTTCCCTCAAATTTGAAAGCTTTTTTTTTTTCTTAGATTTATTTATTTGTGCATACAGAACTGGGGTGCAGGCCAGAGGCTCAGGGGTGGTGAGAGGCTTCACCAGAGACAGAGTGGAGAACAGAACAGGCAGATCGACGAAGTACTGCTGAGGGGAGCAGCAGGCGGGTCAGGAGAGGTCTGCCACGCCATGTGGTCACCTCCGGGGCAAGCGGGGATCAAACTCATGAGGAAGCGGCTTCAGATTCACAGTGCTGTGCTTTAACCCGCTGCGCCACCAGGGAGGGCCCCTCAAATTTGAAAGTTTAAAGGTGAAATAATAGAGGGAAAACTCAAAAATAAACTGTGCATCAGTCCACTAAAATTACTATGTTATGCTTTTATAGAATTTTAAAACATATATTGTAACTACACATACTATCACTGAACTCAAACAAGAAATTAGTGAGGGGCAGGATGGGTATATATAAATAACTTTTAAAAATATTTTTCTAGAATCTCAAATATATTTTCTTAAAATTTTTAAGTCTTCAACTATTCCAAGTAAATGTTCTTATGATACCACACATTTTCCTATGCACTTATAAATACAGGTAGACACAGATGGAGTGTTATTTCCCAATAAACTAAAGCTTCCACATAGCCCAACAAACTAAAGTTTCTACACAGAAATTGCCATTAAAATGAAAAGACACCCTAGCAAATGGGAGGAAATATTTTTAACATCATCCATCCAAAAAGGGGCTAATATTCAAAATATACAAAGAACTAATAAAAATCAACAACAACAAAAAACAACTAAACAGACACTTCTCCCAAAGCCAAATAAAACAGAAAGATACCCAGTAATGAAAAATGTACATGAAAAAATGTTCATTAGCGCTCATAAGAAAATACCATTTCAAAGCTTGAGAATGGCCCATATTAAAAGGACCAGATTACAAGTGCAGGCAAAAATGTTAACAAAAAGGAACGCTCAGACACTGTTGATGGGAACGTAGATTGGTCCAGGAAAACAGTAACATTTTCCAAAATATTAAAAATGGATCTACCTATGATTCATCAACCGCACATTTAAGCAGCTACCAGAAAAATGCATTAACTATTTGAAGAAATATATGTGCTCCTATGTTCAGTGCAGCATTACATGCAGTAGCTAAGTTATGGAAACAACCTAAGTGCCCAACAACAGATGGGTGGTTAGGACACTATGGTGATTATACATGATGGACAACAACTCAGGAGGGAAAAAAAGTTTTTTAAAAAAAATAGCAACCTTGGCCCTCCCTGGTGGCACAGGGGGTTAAAGCACTGCACTGAGAAGCTTAAGCGGCTTCCGCATGAGTTTGATCCCCATGAGTTCGATCCCCGCCTGCCCCGGAGGTGACCACATGGCTCTGCGGACCTCTCCTGACCCGCTCGCTGCTCCCCTCAACAGTGTACTTCGTCGATCTGCCTGTTCTGCTCCCCACTCTATTCCTGGTGAATCCTCTCACTCTCTGCATCTCTGGCGTGTACCCCAGTTCTGTATAAATAAATAAATCTTTAAAAAAAAATAGCAACCTTTCCATTTGATACAATATGAATATAACTGATGCAAATTATGCTAAGCAAAATAAACTAGGAAGATGACAAATACTTCATCCATATACAAAATAAGAAATAAGACAAAAGAGACAAAACTGGCTAGAGAATTGAGGCTATAAAAGGGAGGTTTTGGGTAAAAATGAACTGTGGTAAAGGATTATGGATATTGTGGAGGTGTGAATAGTACAATGTGAAGCTATACTTCTGAAACATACATAGTTTTAAATCAATGTTAATTCGAAAAAAAATCCCATTTAGAAAAAGAAGGTAACATGAATCAAAATTGCTGTCCATTCGTTAGCTGCTAGCATTACAAAAATACCATATGTTTGTTGCTACTGAAAGTATACAATTTTCACATCATTGTAACTTGAAAAAAAATCAAACTACATTAAGTCTTGAACTGTCTGTACTTAAGAAAATATTATTCACAAGTTTAGTTATACATAGCCTACTTTGTCAATGATTTCTCCACCAACCTGGTGAAAATATTCATCAGGATTAAGCCATTAACTGTTCAAATGTACTACATGAAAATAAGTAACTTAACATGCATTTCATCTTAATGTCTTTGTTTTCTGCTAAGATATTAAGATCAACGATGCTGAATGAGGTTTAGCAGTGTTTTTTTGTATATGATCCCAATTTGATATCTGCTTAAGCAATATTGACAGATGGAAAAACTCAATTTATTTTAAGTAAAATTTCAATTCCTTCAAAGCATTATAGGTAATAGAAACCTTTCACTCTTTTGATCATTTAGTAAAAAACAAAGTTTTATATTTTTACCTGGTCTTGGAACTGGTTGTGCAGCAGGAGTCTGAGTCTTACGGGCTGATGCACCCTCCTTTAAAAGAGTAAGTATTGACAAATGACGTCAAAATTCCATTACATAATCAACTCTGTCATTCAATTTACTGCACAGAAATTCCTATCTCTCTCTTATTTAGTCACTCTACCGACCATGTTATTATCCCAACAGTTAAAAAATGAACTGCTGATCTTATATGCAATTACTCATAAGGTAGTAACAGAACTCTTTAGTGGAAATAAAATTGCATTTGTTACTACAGAGTAGTTATTTTAAGTATGTGCTATTTTCAAATATCCAATGATCTCCTTAATTGCTGGCAATTTTAATATCAGAAATGCCACTACTGCTTTAAAATCAAGTCAACCTCTTTTCCTTAAACATTCTCAAAATGAGTAAATGATCATAACCTCATATAAGAAAGATGTGAACAATGTTACTCTGTAGTGATTAAAAAAACACAAACATTTCAATCGAGTATCTTTAAATTTTTCAGAGAAAATAACCACACAAAGATGAGGTTTGTGGCAAATAAGAGTAGTTGAACATGTCTTTAAAGTTGAGCAGCAAATCTCAAATAATTAATACCACAAAATACATAAAGGAAATATGCTAAGTGTTGAAAATGTCTCTAAAATGCTTAAGACTCTTAAAAAGTTATATTCTCTGCAATAGTTTCAATGATATTCAGATTAGATTGTTCATAAAACATTTTTCTTTATAGAAACTTGCAGCCGTTAATTTTCAAAATAACTATTAACTCATGGAGATTTTACACTAGCTATACTGAACTAAATTTGACAATTATCAGGGAAGTTACATGGATCCACAATTTTAAAAAATCACAAACATATTTTAGAAATACTACTAAATAATGTTGATTTTCATCACACACTTTCTGGGACCTAACAAAATGGATGGGAAAAGGGGGAAAGGTTCTGCCAAGCAAATTAAGTCAGAACAACAAATACCAGATAATTTCACTTGTATGTGGAATACAAGAATGAAAGAAAAAGGAAACAACCAAAAGAAACCCTTGAAATCTGTGCAATTAATCCTACTGTTGAGGAGAGCAGAGTGGGAAATAAAGCAGGAATGGGGACCCAATGGACTGTAAGTGGCAAATGACAGATGTCTGGTAGTGGGTGTAGTACGGTAACATGTATCTGAAGAGATGTGAACACAGCTATACTCCTCAATCATAGACAGTATAGTAAATCAACATAACCTTAATTAAAAAATAATAAAATCCAGCAAAAATGTGGAGGTGGACATATCAAATTAGATATAAGTTTGAGTGTAAAATACACAATGAATTTTGAAGATTAAGTATAAGATAGCTAAAGTACTTCAATAGTACTTCTTGTATTGATGACATGTTTAAATAATATATTGAATGTACTGGATCAAAATTATGAAAATTAATTTTAAAACAAATGTGAGGTTTTTACACATTAAAAATCACCAGAACAGTAGGCAATCCTATTTTTTTTCCCCCACATAACTCTAAACCTAATACCAACAGAGAGAAGGTATTTTATTTTCAATATAGTGGTATTCATAGCACTCAGTTAAAATGTCAAGAAAAAAAAAATGTATACTGGAAGACTCAAAAGCATCAACTTAGAAGAACTATTAGAAGCCCATGCACAAGCACACATACAGGCATGAGACAGCAGAACCAGAATGTCAACTTCCAGTATTTTCATTACTATGAATTTAGTTATATATTGGTGTTATTTAAAATTCAATCACATTGGATGTTTGGTTCATGGATGTGTTAACTTGCAAAAATTTGTCAAGTTTTCTCCAAGTAAATTTTTTTTTTCTTTTTTAAAGATTTATTTATTTGTGCATACAGAACTGGGGTACAGGCCAGAGATGCAGAGGGTGAGAGGATTCACCAGAGACAGAGTGGGAAGCAGAACAGGCAGATCGACAAAGTACACTGCTGAGGGGAGCATCAAGCAGGTCAGGAGAGGTCTGCCACGCCATGTGGTCACCTCCGGGGCAGGCGGGAATCGAACTCATGTGGAAGCGGCTTTTTTTTTTTTTTTTTTAAGATTCTCAGTGCTGTGCTTTAACCTGCTGTGCCACCAGGGAGGGCCCTCTCCAAGTAAATTTATATGTAATTTTAAATATTAAAAAGATAGTTATTACAGTGGACAGCACATTATAAAGTTTTAATTTCACCATAATGTCCTGAAATTTTCTGGTTATATTTTCCTCTAATTTTATGTTAGAAGTATATGTGTTTTTGTTCTTTGAAAATCCAATACCTAGAACATAATAGACACAAAAACTGTTGGGCTGTACTGATTCACAATTTCAAACAATCAGAAGCCAACTAGCATTTATTTTATAAATTAGAACTAAATAGATAGGTCTCTATTTACTGAGAAACAAGAAGTACATCTAAAATTACCATGTTTTGACTTCAGAGAAAAGCCATTTGCAAAGCAGAATTAAGCTAACACACAAGAAAAGCAGTGGAAGATATCACCCTTCATAATACCTATTACACTTAGCTGTAATGGCCTGCAAAGATTATTTGCATTCCTAATGGTTCTAGATTTGTCACTAGAATCTTCCATATCATTATTCTATGTACCTCACATGCTTTTTTCATCCTGACTTAGTAGTTTGTATTTGTAGCAACAGAGTTTTACCTAATTTCATCTACTTGAATTTAATGAAAATCTGAGTTAACTAAGATGAGTGTAACTTTGCTTAATTCTGTAAAAATGTGTGTGTATATACACACATACACACAATTACGTAGGTATGACAAAACATTCAACTCTGAGTGCCCTGAAAGAAAACTAGGAATATCTTTGCTAATTATATTTCATTAGCCCATGGTCATTGCTAGGACTCCCTAGTAAATGCTAAGAGAAAAAAGCACATTCTAGTTCGATATACATTAATTTGGGGGGGAGAAAAGGTACAGAAAGTATTGCATAAAGGACATCAAAAATGATGTAACCCATCCCACCACCATTTAAAGAGAAAGGAGTAAAGCATTTTTCAAAGGCTAACAATGGCATATCGAGCATATGTTAAAAAACAGGAATAATACTTTCACAATTATATGGACTAGGCTGACATTTTCATATATTTAATGATGTTTGGTTTATAGTAAAAAAATACTACCTACTTAGGAAAAGACCAGTATCAGCACAACTATAAGAGCTGACAAGTTGTGCTAACTGGGGAGGAAAATCTGCTTTCTCTTGAAAAGTCATGAAGCATTGTATTTTAGAAAAGAAATAACGGAATTAAAATGAAGGACATTAAATAGTGGCAGAACCATTGCTGGTGGGAATGCAAACTAGTACAACCACTATGGAAAACTGTTTGGAGGCTCCTCAAACTGCTAAACATGGAGCTTCCCTACGACCCAGCAATCCCACTCCTAGGTATCTACCCAAAAGACACAAAAACACTGACTGAAAAAGATACTTGTACCCCCATGTTTATTGCTGCTTTATTTACAATTGGAAAAACATGGAAGCAGCCCAAATGCCCAAAAGTAGATGACTGGATTAGAAAGATGTGGTACATATATACAATGGAATATTACTTAGCAACAAAAAAGAGAAACACATGTCTTTTGCAGCAACTTGGATGGAGCTGGAAAAGATCATGCTTAGTGAGATAAGCCAGAAAGAGAAAGAAAAATACCGGATGGTTTCACTCATAGCAGGAGTATAATGGACCAGGCGAGAAAATAACAAAAATAATGAACAACCATAGACCAGAGACATTCTGTGGGGGTGGAGTGGGGAATGGGATCAAATAGGGAGGGAAATGCACAGGACTATGGTGGTGGCACAGGGGTGATTTGGTGATGGGAAACCCGCGGGGATTACAATCGAGATGGAAAAAAAAAATGTGCAAAATGATGTAAAAATAAACTTTGTAATAAAAAAAGCAAATAAAAAAAGTAGTGGCAGAACCATTTATTCGTAGACATAAGAGAAAAATACACTGTTTATAATCCTTAACCTATTTGATAAAAGGAAGTTATCTAAGTTCTTTTGTTATGAAGATAAAAATAATGGTGTTTAGGACTTAAGCAACTAGGAAATACCACCGTAACATAAAATATCCTAAGAAAGAAAACTGGTAACATGTCAGTATTAAAGCGAATACTAATGTAATCAAGTCTGCAAACTGCTGTTTATATGAAACTTAAGTACTGAAAATTCTAATGAAAATCTACAGACCTTTCTAAAGACTGTATTAATGACAAAGTTGCATTTTTTAATTAAATATTGATTTTTGATTAATTGAACCCTTGCTTGCTTTTGCCTTTACAAAACGTCACTTATTCCAATGAAATTTCAACTTTTTTGTTAGTATATCCAAGTATTCAGTTTTTTTTAAGTTTCTGAATTTTTTCAGCACATTGAGCCGTTTTTAAGTATTTTGAAAAAAAGTATTTTGGATTAGAAAAAGGTAAGTGCGGCACTGTGAACTAATTACAGTGAGGCTGAAAAACATAAAGGGTTTCAGAAATTAAAACTCTTCAACACAAACAATTGTACAAAATTTATCTTCTCAGGCTTGTCATAACCTAGAGGCATGTGTTTATGTTTGCCAACACAGAGTTACATTTCTTAAATATCTTATTTATCTATAAAGTATGGAGATTTGTTCAATACATCTTTCAAATATCTTACTATGCTCTCTAACTCTGTGTTTACTCGTCTGCTTAGCCCTATCAGAATATACGCTACTTAAGGTCAGGGTCAGTCTATTACACTTCCAATGCCTGTTGCAGTCACATAGGTACGTACTTACTAAATATATATTAACTGGTTAATTAAAATAAATTCACTTGCCTTGGAATCACTTATTCACCCCCTCTTTTATATATATATATATATATATACATACATACATATTTACACACATATATATAAATCAGTTATAATATACTCTGTTAACTGAAGATGGTAAAAGAGTAAACATCACAAAGCATTACTGAGAGAACTATGTATTTATTAATTCCATATATAATATATATATAT